GAGATAAAAAAACTCTTCACGCATGAGTTTTAAAAAATAATAATTAAACTCATCGCACAGTGCGGAAAAATGGCAAACTATGTGCGGAAAGTTGGCAAACTCTTTGTACAGTGCGAAATAAAAAAAAAATCTCTCCGCACAGTGTGGAGAGATGACAATCTGTGCGGACACCGTCCTCACAAAGTGCCGACTCTCCGTACAGTGCGGAGTAAAAAAAGCAAGAAAAACTTTGCACAGTGCGAAGAGTTGGCAAACTCTCCGTACATTGCGAAGTTAAAAAAATAAAAATAAAACCTCTCTACAAAGTGTTTGTCACGTGCGTTGCACGAATCTTGCATTTATCGTATTTTTATTAGTGTATGAATTTTAGTTTTTTGGAAAGTTTTTGAAATAATATTTAGAAATATTTCCATGATATAAGAAAATAATTGGAAATTATTTTTATAATTGTATAACAATATTGTGTTATTTAGAAAAAATGTATTTGTATATTTCATATTGAATAAGAAATATACGAGATTATACAAATTATTTTACTTATATTCTTTGATAGTGTTGATACGATTGAGTTGAATGTGAAGATTATATTTCTAAATTTTGTATAATTCAATATTGAAAAATTGAAGATTGAGCACCATATTCATATGCATTTATATTTTGTGCTTCATATATATTTAATATTTATTTTATGCTTATGTTGAAAAAATAAAAATCTGATTTTTTTAAAATTCGGTTTGGTAAATGAATGTACGGTGTTTTTCATTCTCGGTATTTGTAAGTACAAAAATCGGTATATAAAAATACAGTAAGCTGCTAATACGGTAAGCAGCATATACAGTAAGTTGTAAATACGGTAGGCAACATATACGATAAGTTGTTTACAAATACGGTAAGTTGCAAATACAATAGGCAGCATATACGGTAAGGTGAAAATACGGTAAGATGCAAATACAATAAGTTGTTTGTAAATACGGTATGCTGAAAATATGGTAAGCTACAAATACGATAAACAACATATATGGTAAGTTGCCTGCAAATACAATAAGTTGCATATATGAATTTATAATTTGTTATAAATTTATAAAATTTATTTAATATTGAATTTCTTAAATATTAAATGTACAATTCAATATTGTTTCATTTTTTAAAATTGTATTTTTGAGAATTAAAAAAAAATTGTTATGAAATAGCTAATTTTTAAATGTGTTTTTTTGTTGAAGAGAAAAATGATTTTTTTATATTATTTGCAAAAAAAAAAATCTATTATAATTCTATTAGCTTAATAAAATGATTTATTATGCATTTTTATTTTTTGCATTTTGTGAAGAATTTTATTTATGGTAATTGACAAATATTATTCTACACACGCATCGTGCCAACAATATAAAAAAAGAATAATAATTTTAGTATATGTAAATTCCATGAAACAAAAAAAATAAAAAAAGTCCCCGCACATGAGCAAAAAAAAAAAAAGACTCCGCAAAGTGTGGAGAGATAACAAACTATCTCTCCGTACAATGTGAAGAGAAAAACAAAAACTCTCGGGACTTTATCTGCAAGTTTTAAGCGACTTTTTCTCAAACAACTTTTGAGCAATGCATTTAATACTTTAATTCCTGACCTACAACCTAAAAGTATAATTTCATTGAAAATTGTTTTCGCTTCTAATGTCTAAGAGCTGTTATCAAACAAGTGTAACATATTGAATTTGTGTGGTACCCTAAAGCCTCAATTTGTAAAAGCAATGACAGGGTACTATCAATATCCTATTCTTTACACAACTCACATATTGTTTCATTGTATGAATCACGAGAAAGCTCATTTCTAATACCGTAATCTGATTTGCATGCTTAGAAAATGTGTTGTGATTGGAATTTAAAGAAGATATAATTGATTTTGAGCCATGTTTTTCGACTCTGTTTTGTTGTATATACAAAAAATATACAATTTTGAAATTTGACTTGTAATTAAAGAATTTGAAAACAACTCTCTGTACTGTGCGGAGAGTTTTTTTTTTACTTCGCACTGTGCGAAGAGTTTGCCAACTCTCCACACATGGTTTAACTTTCTCCGCACTATTTTTTTTTTACTTCGCACATGGTTCAACTCTCTATACACTGTATGAAGAGTTTATTTTCTCTCCACACTGTACGGAGAGTTTTGCCATGATGCGAACCAACTATCCCCACTGTGTGAAGAGATTAACTCTCTCTGCACAGCGCGGAGAGTTTTTTATTTTGCTTTCCGTACTGTGTGGAGAGTTAGTTTGTTGTCTCTCCGCACTATGCGAAGAGACAGAGAGTTTTTTTTATTCCGTATTATGCGAAGAGTTTACCAACTCTCCGCACATGGTTCAACTCTCCCCGCACTGTGCAAAACTATTTTTCTCTCCACACACTTTTTATTTTTACTCCGCACTTGGTTTAACTCTCTCCGCACTGTGCAGAGAGTTTTTTTTTTCAATTTTACAATATGGAATTACACAAAATTTAGAAATATACTCTTCACGTTCAATTCAATTATATCAACACTATGAAAGAATACAGGCAAAATAATTTGTATATTTCTTATTCGAGCATGAAATATATGAAATATACAATCATATTTTTTCTAAATAACATATTGCTATGCAATTGTAAAAATAATTTATAATTATTTTCTTATATCATGGAAATATTTTTAAATATTGCTTCAAAAACTAATATTCATACACTAATAAAAATACGATAAATACAAAATTCGTGCAACGCACGTGATAACGACTTTATCATACCTGAGACTAGGCCAACAATGGGAGAGGAGAAAAAGGTTGACCAAGTTAATTCTTGGTGACTTTTCTTCATTCGCTCCACTTCCTTTCTCTTGCGAAAGGATGGACCAAACAAATTCTTTACAATTGTCTATTTTTTAAGTTTCTAGGTGGACAGCGTCGTGGACCTTGCAAAATTTCCACCACAAGAAAAAGTGTGACAAAGAAGGGCTTAGCATGGCAGAAGAAGAATCCATTTTGGCCTTTACGAATCCAATTTCTTGTTTTCTACCTCTTTCTTCAACCATCATGGGCAAGTGAATAAATAAATTAATTCTATTTATTATTTTAACAAAATTTGTGATTGGTGCATGTAGGCACAAACCAACCACAAGGGACCCTTATTCCACCTATCTCAATTTATTGATTCCAAGTCTACTTTCTTGAATCCATTAATTATTTATACAAAATAAAAGACTTCACAAAGTGAGGCTATAAATTCGTTATCAGTCAATTTGCTTCTAAAGGCCACAGAGAAACCTTCATCGGTCAATTTAGCCAATTGCATTATTTAAAAGTGTCGGAGTTACGAGTCTAACGTGATTGTCCAAATATACATGTAACATACAAATAAACAGGAGAATAGTTGGGATATGTTGATAACTGGATTTCGCTAGATTCAAAAATCAATATATAATTTATTTATTTTTATTTTAGAGAGTTTTTTGTGTTGTGAATAGTTACCAGCTTTTAAAATAATGCAATTGGTAGAGTCAAAAACTTTGAATTTATTTCCTAAATCGCTGTCAAAGGAAGCTTCACCCATTAACACTTCATAAAAAAAAAAAGGTTAAACCCTAACCTTAAAGGTCCTTTACTACTCTTGTCCTAGAGTATCGTGAGGGAGGTAAATCATAGGTTATGCCTCCAAGGGTACAGGGTGGAAGGCTGCTTGTACACTTGCACTTACCCAAGAGCCAAATCCATATTTCAGGATTCGAACCCTTGACGCAGCAGCCTCAAGCAAAGCTGAATTTCTCCACCCTGCTCTTTTACCACTTGGAGATGTGCCTTGGAGGCCCATTAACACTTCATATGTTCACATCAGGTCGTTGAAAGCAAGAAAGAAAATAAAGATGTATTCAAATGTTCCGAACTATTTTGAATGCAATTGCTTGTTTGAGCTTTTGTCAAAATGGCTTGAATTGAATTTTGACATTTCATCTAACAGGTTAATATTATTGTTGTTAAAGAAAAAAAAAAATTATCCTGAACAAGTTTTAATAAAAAGGCAATTCTATGTAGCACTTCATGACATTATATGATATTGTACTGCGCTATTCAAACCCTGTTTGACATTTATTAAATTAAATTTTTTTTCAAATTTATTTTTAATCATACATTCATGTAGTAAAATATTTTGTATGTAAATTCAAAACTATTTCTTACTTTTTAACCTCACTTTTTCCCAAAAAAAGAAATCACTATTTTAAAACTCATTTAAAAAAAAAAAATTTCATTTTGCAGATGTACAAAGCATCATTCTATGCATCATAAGCAATATTTTGAAAATCGACCTGGACATCGATCCAAAAAAGATAAATGGTCAATCAAAATGTTCAATCGAGATCGAATCAAATGCAATAAATAAATAAGTATACACAAAGAAAAAAAATTATAAAAACAATAATTTTATAAATTTTCATATTACTAATTAAAGTAAATCTGTGTTTATTAATTAGATTCATTATTTTGCAATTAGTCTCAACGCATTAAAAACTAAAAATCAATACGTTAAATAGTTTGCTTTGATAAAATTGAAATAGTTTGAGCCTATTATGTTACTAATGAAATGTAATTTAAATTTAAACATTAAATAAATGAAAAGATGGAGGTGAATATTACAATATAGGTCATTTAGACATATACTTCGAAAATGGTTTTAACGGGCAATTTAACATTTTTTTGCTAGCCTACTATTTCATATTGAAAGTTTATGCCATTATTTGAGAAAAGTGCATTTATAAAAGGAGCATATCATTCATGTTTCTATTACGTTTCATTTTTTTTTTCAACTATATAATTTTTTATAAAATAATATTATATGTAAATCGAAATTTTTTCCTTTCTCTTCAATCACTCATCCTTTAAAAAAAACTATCCTTTTCATTTTCATTTCAAAAAAATGGGGGGCTAAATAATATTTACGTAATAAAAATATGAGGAAAAATCAATAAAGGAAAAAGTGCAGAAGAAGGAAAAATGAACGGCGGTGGAAAGAAATAAGAAGTGGGGAGGAGAAGGCATGGCGCGAATTTCTACGTTGCTTCTGGAGCAGGAGTCGTTGTGGACCCGTGGCCCTTCTCTCCATTCTCTTTTCGACCCACTTCAACATTTCTTTTCATTTATACACAATCCTCGTAACATTCAATAATCGTATACATATTCTTCGAATCTCTATGCTTTTTTTTAGATCTTTTGAGCCTCCGGAAAAACCCATATACAATTCACCAATACCCTCGTTTTAAGCTCCATCAATAGCAGCTTCCGAGCCCTATTAAGGTCCGTTGCAAATCCAGGTTTTATGCATTTTTATTTCAAGGTGTTTTTTGGGCTTGAAATTTTGAGGCTTGTTTTTACAAATGCGTGTGTTATGATTACGTCTCGATAATGGTTGTTAAGGATTTTTTTTTTTTTTTTGCTGAGAATTACGGACCATTGGTAGTTCTTTTTCTTTCATGATTTCAATTTTTACCTTTTTCTGTTGTTTTAGCATTTCAATTTTCCTTCCTCTGCATTCTTCTCATTTACATTAAGATCTGGTCTTCATAGATCTATAACGATAAACAGAAAGCAAAATTCTATATTTCAGTTTCTGTAATCCGGGAATTTTTTTATGTTAGATTGATTTTTGACGATTTACAGTCCTATAAGTTTTCAATTTGGTTTTGTGCATAGCGTGCATAATTCAGATAGTTATTCACGAGAACATGTACTTAGTCAATTTCCTCTTATTAATTGTGGGATTGCACTTTTGTTTAGCAGAAGTAAGCAATGGCAACCAGCATAGCTTCGGGAAGTGGTCTTCTGCATCTTAGAGAGAGTGTATACAGGGGACAGGGCTGTAGACGAGCCTATTTTGTGTCCGGTATTGGCATCCCAACATGCGTCCAAAAAGATCATTCTTGGTATTGTTACAAAGGCCTCTGTGTTACAATTTATTTGACTGAGCTAATGAGGAACAACAAATGATTGGTTCTCTAGTAACATCACTACGGGTTTGTTGGTTTAGACCGATGAAACAACTTATGGTCGACAGTTTTTGAAGGAAAATTTTCTAATCTAGAAGACTTTTTTTTTTTTTTTTTTTTTTTTTTTTTTATTTTATTTTTTTTTTTTTTTTTTTTTTTTTTTTCAATACTTCTCAGTGTTTAGCTTATTAATGTGTTTTACATGATCTCCCTCTATTGTTTCTTTTCCAAAAAGAAATCAAGATCATACCATACCATTCCATGTTCAGTTTCTCTTTTTGCAAAGATTGATCATAGCTCTTGATAATTTGTTATGATCTCTTGCTTCAAGATTTAAGAATTACCTTTCAGGCTGCAATTGGAGTCTGAATTTAAATAAGGAAAAATATCCTCGCACTAACAACTTAGCTTTTAGATGAGGTTATTCTTGTGAAAATTTATGCACGCGTACGCCTTTTGATAAAAAAAATATCAGTTTGAAAGTACGTGGGTGAAAAGACTCTAAATATAAAAAAATAAATGTGTACCTCTCTAAACTACATGTACTTTTAGATGAGGTGGTTCAACAATTCACACTACTTGCCAACATTCGTACCTAGTGTTATATCACAACTACAGATTGTGGGACTTTTTATTTTTTATTTTTTATTTTTAACTTACATCAGATCATGTTTCATTTCTTAGGTCTCACAGGGTTCCCAATAACTTGCGGATTCATACAAGTAACCATTTCCAATCTCTAGCTAATGAGTGTCGACATAGGCAACACAGAACAGCAGTTATATCGTGCTTGAGAGATGGTTCTACGAAGTATTTTGATTTTGCTGTTATTGGCAGTGGAGTAGCAGGCCTTAGGTATGCTCTTGAGGTTGCAAAACATGGAACTGTTGCTGTGATAACTAAGGCCGAGCCTCATGAGAGCAACACTAATTATGCACAGGGCGGCGTGAGTGCTGTATTGTGCCCATCAGATTCAGTAGAGAGTCACGTGTTGGATACAATAGTGGCTGGAGCTTATCTATGTGATGAGGAGACCGTTCGAGTAAGTTGTCCAATCAAGTCATTTTTTCATTCTTCTTTAGCTAAAATTTTTGTGTGAGAACAAACAATGACTTTTCCGATGGAGTATGCCATTTTACCTGAATTGATTCAACCAAAAAAAAGAAAAAAAAAAAAATTCTAATGATGTGAAAGGAAGGAAGCTTTTGAACTGTGATAAAATAAGCTTCAGTCCCAACTATGAGAGCCCAAAAAAAAAAAAATAAATAAATAAATGTAAAGCATGCACATAGATTTGTAGCAGGGTGACCCGTATGAACTATCCAATATTAGGTAGGTCGATAAGCGGTTGAGAGAATAAATGAGCAGTACCATTAGGCTTTACACAGTCAAACAGGAACGAAGTTATTTCCAACACGAATGTATAATTGATTTTGTGTGTAATAAATCAAGATCAGAGTTACCTATCAAAAAAATCAAGATCATAGTTAAAAATTTCACACCTTTGACATTGAAGCATTTCTCTACTCATTGTCTAAAAACTGCATGTATTCACTTATTTCAGATTTTTCAGTTTTTACGGGCTTGTCTATATTTTCCAGGTCGTGTGCACTGAGGGACCTGAGAGAATCAGAGAATTGATTGCTATGGGTGCTTCTTTTGATCACGGGGAGGATGGAAATTTGCACCTGGCTAGGGAAGGGGGTCACTCTCATCGTAGAATCGTGCATGCTGCGGATATGACAGGAAGAGAAATAGAGAGGGCACTCTTAGAGGCAGTACAGAAGGATCCTAATATTTTTGTGTTCGAGCACCATTTTGCAATAGATTTGCTGACTTCTCAGGTTTGGTTCATGCCATTCCTAACTTGTTTAAGTCCAATGTTAATTTCAAATTGTATGAATGCAATGGTTCTGACACGTTTTGCAACGAAAAAGTTATTTACTAATATAAACATGTATGCTGGCGTACAGGATGGTTCTGACACGGTTTGTCATGGCGTGGACACTTTGAATACTGAAACACAGGAGGTAGAAGAGTGATTGCAGTCCATACAATTTCCTCCATTTTTCTTCAAATTTAGTAAGGATCAACTCATGGAAGGACTCTAATATTAACAGACTTCCTTCCTTTCTCTCATTTGAACTTTTAGGTGGTCAGATTCATCTCAAAGATAACTTTACTCGCATCAGGAGGGGCTGGACATATCTATCCAATTACTACAAACCCCCCGGTATGATCTTGCTTTCTTTTTCCTTGAAGTAGTTTCTTTCTACAAAGGTATCTACATCAGCATTTCTTTGTTGTTTTTTTTTTTAAATCAAATTATAAGTTGCCATCTTTAAATTTAGTAGGACTAAAACTAAAAACTTAACTACTGAATAACTTATTTCAGTTGAATTGATCAGAAACTACGTGGATAGCTATTTTCGAGTAGGCTAAATTGATGGAAACTACCTAAACTAACAAAAGCTGCATACACAAAAAATCTGATGTCATTTAAATTATAAGATTCTTAGATTTAACAATCAGTTAAGAATTATCTACCAGATTCTCATTCACATTACCACTTAGCTGACTTCCTTTCCGGAATCATGAGTCTGGATGCCTCCTGTACTTGTTTAAGTTTTGTTCGGCCCATTAGAAGTACCGGCAGAAAACAATGAAATTTGTTAATCCACCTACATCTGCATGAAATATTATGATCTGTATTCAAGGTTGTTACCAACTATCCTCTGATAGATTTTACTATTTTTTTAGAAGATTTGAAGCCATATTCAGAATGCCTGAGTTTCGGCATGCCATGTTCGGAACTTTGGATAGCAATGTAAATCAGTAGCACCATTTGTAAAACTTTATTCTCTTAGTACATGTTTAGTACAAAGTGCTGAAATAATGGACAAGATTTTAACCTGTACATGTTTGTGCATGCCTAAAAGCACCTTAAAAAGCTCTGCTTTTTTCCTACAGCAACACCCTTGTTGCCGTCCGATGCCATACAATAAAGTCAGCAAGCTAAAACATGTTCTTAGTACTATCCAATGCCCTACGGCCCATCTTATCAAACAAGCCATTAGCGTATTGTCTTCAAGACGTACTTCTATTTATCGACAATATCTTCCATTTCGTCCAAGCAGGATCCGAAGTATCGGCCTAATTGAACAATGATAAATTTACTTATTTATAAACTGCTTTGTTTTGAGTCAACCTTGATATGATATTGCAGGTTGCCACTGGAGATGGAGTAGCAATGGCTCACCGAGCTCAAGCTGTGATCTCCAATATGGAGTAAGTTTTTCAAATAGGGGTCCTTTATAGGGTGGTATGTCATGTAAATGAAAGGTTTCTATAACCTGGCATAAGTAATAATTGCTCTCTGGTTTTATCAATTTAAATATTCCGGAGGATTTCATCACTAATGTCTGTGAATAATTTTGCTCTCAGGTTCGTGCAGTTCCACCCGACTGCTCTAGCTGATGAAGGCCTCCCTATTAGACCAACCAAAGCTCGTGAAAATGCCTTTCTGATAACTGAAGCAGTGAGGGGCGATGGAGGCATCCTCTACAATTTAGACATGGAGAGATTTATGCCCTCGTACGATGAGAGGGCAGAGCTTGCTCCAAGGGATGTCGTGGCGAGAAGTATAGACGATCAAATCAAGAAACGTAACGAAAAATATGTACTTCTTGACATTAGTCACAAGTCCAGAGAAAAAATTCTATCCCATTTCCCCAACATAGCTGCTGAATGTATGAGGTATGGCCTAGACATAACTCGAAAGCCGATTCCCGTTGTTCCGGCTGCTCATTACATGTGTGGTGGAGTTCGGGCTGGGCTGCAAGGGGAGACAAATGTCCTAGGTCTCTACGTGGCAGGTGAAGTTGCATGTACTGGCTTGCATGGTGCAAACAGACTAGCTAGCAACTCATTGCTCGAGGCCCTTGTGTTTGCCAGGAGAGCCGTGCAGCCGTCAATTGATCACACGAAGAGTTCTTGTACTGATCATAGCGCTTCCCGTTGGTGGCCCCGACCTACAATGCCTAAATCACTTGGGAACACTATCCTGAGCAATATCATCCATAGGACGAGGGAAGTGAGGGACGAGTTGCAATCGATCATGTGGGAGTATGTTGGAATTGTTCGATCAACAACAAGGCTGCAAACTGCAGAGAGAAGGATCGGGGAATTGGAATTGGAATGGGAAACATACTTATTTCAACAGGGGTGGGAGCCAACAATGGTAGTTCTTGAAGCTTGTGAAATGAGGAACCTGTTTTGTTGTGCCAAACTGGTTGTAAGCAGTGCTCTCGCAAGGCACGAAAGCCGAGGGCTTCATTACACCATCGATTTTCCGCATTTGGAGGAAAGCAAAAGGCTGCCTACAATTATACTTCCCTCTTCATTTGTAAGTAATACATGGAGTTCCAGACAACTACATAGGCAGCAAATATGCCACAAGTCAGTAGTTCCTGCCAAAATTTCTATTTAATTTCAGTAAAAGTTATAACATTTTTTCAAGTTTTTTAGCATCATTCAACTGTACAAACACTAAATTCACACAAATATTTTCAAATTTGGTGGTAGGCATGTAAAGTATGGTTTTAGATGCTGCTGCATTGGGATCTGAACTTGTTTTCATGATTTTTGGGTGATGTTCCACATTTTGTTATGATTACGACGGTACATCACATCTTATGCACCAGTTTATAGCTAAATGGTTTAATTTGTTTCCAAATTGCCTCACATTAGCTGGTTATAGTAATATTGTGCAGTGACAGGAGTTTATTACAATAGTTTGACAATGAACTATATCTTTAGTAAGGGGTTTTTATATGACTAGGTTACAGAAGAAAGGAAATAAGAAAAGAAATCAAAGAGCGAAGGTTACATGGTTGGAAATCTTGAAGAACAATAATCCTTGTGAGTGATTTTTCACCTTAAGAATTGATTTTTTTTTTGTTATTTCACTATTTCAGCCGTTAAATTTGAGTTCTTCTCGTAGAGATGATCCCCACTTCTCTCTTAACAGTCAAAAAATCAATTTTCAAAATTAATCGCAAAGGGGCCTCAATGTTTCATTTACTTTACCCCATTCATTACTGTCAAAAATACTGTTGGAAATTTTGACACCAATATATACAATGTTCTATACAAATATTGTGTAACAAAATATTATCTTGAGATTCGCACATGGTGCATCAACGTAAAATAATAATTTAATTCGAACTGGTTTCATATTTCATTTATGTTGAGAAAGTTTTTGAATATCTTTTGCCCGTGTCAAAGCTTTTTTCACATAATCAAGTTTGACTTCAATTGTGGCTCCTAGGTGAAAGTTCGAGCTGATATTGTACATACTACAAGTAATATGGTCAAATTTTAGATCAAATGTCATCATTGCCTTATTGACGATATAGTCCAATATTATCGAGTTACTTTTATTAGCTATTAGGAATCTTGGGGAGGGCCCCACATTATTTCCAAAAATATGAAATGGGAGATATTTTTTTGAAAGCGAAGATATGATTTAACGAATATTTAAAAAGTTAGCATGGTGAGAATTGACCATATTACTATAACAAAAAAAATTAAAAGATCAATTTACCACTCAGAAAAACAAATTCAAACTCATGCCATTTTCGCCTTTGGCAATTTGCATGGACCGCCAAATCTGAAATCAGATCTCAAGCAATGGAATTACCTCATCTGCTTCAATCAATGGACATGTTGGAAACTTTGAGAATAAAGGTGCAACCAGCCTCTTGATTTTTTTTCGAAAAAAATCTTTTCGAGTATATTAGAGACCATGCATTGAGCTCCATTTTTTGAGTAGAATGTATTTTCGAATAGTAGATTGATGGAGAATGTGTGGTTAAAAAATAAGAAAAAATTTTGAATTTGCATGTAATATTATTTTATTAAAAAATGTGTGATTAAAAAAAATAGAAATAATGTATTTTGAAAATAACGAGAATCAAATAAGGGTTGTTAAATACAACTCATAGTTCCATCTTAGAAAGTCAATTTCGTTAAAGTAACCAAATTTCATATATGTTGTTTATTTTTCTTAATCATCAAGCAACATGTGATAATTATCCTTAACATAACATTGTCATATGGTAATTCATTTGAACATACTAATATTGAAATCAAATACTCATCTGACCATCAATTACTCATTTGAACTTAACACTTAGGGTTCGGCCTTAAAGATTAATTTTATTAAGATGATTAGTTCAAACTTTTATACGTAATTTTATGTGGGATATTATCCTAAATTCAATATGATTGTTATAAAAAAGGTTTAACAAGCTGCATTATCCTTTTCTTTTGGGATATTTTTAAACTCAAATCTAAATAGAATTCTACTTGAGAATATGTGCAACCTTTAAGTACATAGTACATTAGAATAGACATTAGCCATTAAGATAATTACAAATATCTCACACGTTTCTTTTCTTTCATTCGATTATATTTAACCCAACATATCGTATGCTGGACTACCTCACGACCTTTTTTTTGTCGATTAAGTCCTTATCAATTCTGTCGATAATAACGAACCATAAATAACAATACTGCGTAAGGATCTAATTTCACTCCGAGGACATTAAAACATGACAACATGCACAGAATATCCAGCATGATGTTATGTCCATTTAAAGCCCCTACCATTGTCCACTGACTCATGTTTGCAGCACTTTGCTTTTGACCAAATTGAGGTTTGAAGAATCCTATGCTTTTCACTTTTCTAGTGTTGGAACAAAGGGAAAGAAGAAAAAGTAGTATTTTGCAATTGACCCTCAACTTCGCATATTCATATGATTCAACATTACATATTCACTTCAAACAGCTGCCCTCTAGGCTCTAACAAGCCGAGGTTTTCCTAGGTATACACGTGTCAAATGAACTCACAATTTAATACTACCAATTTTATACAAGATTTGATCTTGGCATTTCATCTTTTATATGTGAATGGAAAACACGAGCGAAAGAAGGAACAACACGACGAGCTTACCCTTGAATTGAGTAATCACAATTACATGCCTTTCTGTCTTTGATTGTCTACTTTAAATACATGATGTACTTGAGACATGTGAGCATCATCATAACGGAAGTTCCATGAGGAAACAAATTAGTTATCTTATGTTTGATACTCATAGACAACATTGGACATCAAAATAAACAATATTTTAACATTTTCAAGCCTAGGATCTAAGAAGTATGTTAAGGAACTTGTAATTTCAATGAAACCATACAAAACAAAATACAGATGAGACATGCATATGGTTTGACATTCCAAACAGAGTGGTGGTGGACCAGAATCCTTATATTCTTAAATGGATATTTTTTTGCAGAGGCTATCTGAATATGTGGGACCAATTTCAGTCAAAAGATAGTCCTGCCGAAATTCTCAGTCAATACTACTCACATGTTTCCTTCTGCCTGATTGAAGGATACACAGTGAAAAATGTAAAGCAGAAAGATGGAAATGAAATTAACCTTCCATCGAATACCTTGTCTCCCGCAATAATTACTTTTCCAAAAGGATCGGATAAAACCTCTGCTTGGAGGAAAGACTTGAACTTTTATGCTCACATGCACATCAAAACGAACTTTGTCCAATTGAGTTTCCACAATTTAATATGACCATTGTATTAATCCATAGCAAACGCAAATGATGCAGGATAATTCTTTACAAAAATGCACACATTAGCCATATTCATATTATAAACCGAATTCACGAACTGTAGATCCATAGCAATAAATGTAAAGTTTTCAAATTAATGACTCCATAACAATGAACTCGTCTATACCATGGTAGTCAAACCAATTCTTCCAGATAAGCAAAAAAGAGTGGCATAAATGCTGTCATGTCTAGGTAGACAATCAATAGCAAGTTGGCAAACTTCGAATTTTAGATGGGGGGCAGATATATGATAAGACGTGGTAACAATGGAAATATTCTACTAGCTCATACCGTGGGCCATAAAACGGATTACCACGAATTTTTTGCTATGATTGGTGTGGATTCTGAAGATAGTCACCCAAGACCAGTGTAAATAATGGCCTTGAGGAATCTTTTGATGTACGGATTGAAAAGAAACAGTTCCCCAACAGCAAATATAAATACCTTCACTTCTTCCTCGAGTTCTCCAAGCGAAGCTCTGAATCACTAGGAATACCATCAACCGAACATGGACAACAGGTATGAATCTGAGGTACACTTTTCATTCCACACATATAGTTGTTACATAGGATGCAAATGTACATACTGGTGGATGTTACAATACATTTTGTGAGCAGGAACAAGTGTGCTGCATGCTACAGACAATTCAACAAAATGGAGCATTTAGTCGAACACATGAGGACGTCGTACCATTCAGCTCATGAGCCCATGTGTGGAATTTGTAGAAAGCATTGCCGATCGTTTGAGTCTCTACGGGAGCATCTTATAGGTATTCTTCAATCTCCTAGAAGCTATAACATGTTATGTGTCATTTAAGATTTGGCTTCTAACGCGTGTTGATTTCCTATACAGGACCTTTACCAAAGGTTGAATGTGAAAGGATATTTAAGGAACAAGGATGTGATCTTTGTTTAACCATCTTTAGTAGCCGTAACGCTCTCCATGTCCACCGAGAGGCATGCCAATTCTCACGTGGCAACAATATTCATGTTTGCAGCACTTTGCTTTTGACCAAATTGAGGTTTGAAGAATCCTATGCTTTTATCTTTTCTAGTGTTGGAACAAAGGGAAAGAAGAAAAAGTAGTATTTTGCAATTGACCCTCAACTTCGCATATTCATATGATTCAACATTACATATTCACTTCAAACAGCTGCCCTCTAGGCTCTAACAAGCCGAGGTTTTCCTAGGTATACACGTGTCAAATGAACTCACAATTTAATACTACCAATTTTATACAAGATTTGATCTTGGCATTTCATCTTTTATATGTGAATGGAAAACACGAGCGAAAGAAGGAACAACACGACGAGCTTACCCTTGAATTGAGTAATCACAATTACATGCCTTTCTGTCTTTGATTGTCTACTTTAAATACATGATGTACTCGAGACATGTGAGCATCATCATAATGGAAGTTCCATGAGGAAACAAATTAGTTATCTTATGTTTGATACTCAATAGTATAGACAACATTGGACATCAAAATAAACAATATTTTAACATTTTCAAGCCAAGGATCTAAGAAGTATGTTAAGGAACTTGTAATTTCAATGAAACCATACAAAACAAAATACAGATGAGACATGCATATGGTTTGACATTCCAAACAGAGTGGTGGTGGACCAGAATCCTTATATTCTTAAATGGATATTTTTTTGCAGAGGCTATCTGAATATGTGGGACCAATTTCAGTCAAAAGATAGTCCTGCCGAAATTCTCAGTCAATACTACTCACATGTTTCCTTCTGCCTGATTGAAGGATACACAGTGAAAAATGTAAAGCAGAAAGATGGAAATGAAATTAACCTTCCATCGAATACCTTGTCTCCCGCAATAATTACTTTTCCAAAAGGATCGGATAAAACCTCTGCTTGGAGGAAAGACTTGAACTTTTATGCTCACATGCACATCAAAACGAACTTTGTCCAATTGAGTTTCCACAATTTAATATGACCATTGTATTAATCCATAGCAAACGCAAATGATGCAGGATAATTCTTTACAAAAATGCACACATTAGCCATATTCATATTATAAACCGAATTCATGAACTGTAGATCCATAGCAATAAATGTAAAGTTTTCAAATTAATGACTCCATAACAATGAACTCGTCTATACCATGGTAGTCAAACCAATTCTTCCAGATAAGCAAAAAAGAGTGGCATAAATGCTGTCATGTCTAGGTAGACAATCAATAGCAAGTTGGCAAACTTCGAATTTTAGATGGGGGGCAGATATATGATAAGACGTGGTAACAATGGAAATATTCTACTAGCTCATACCGTGGGCCATAAAACGGATTACCACGAATTTTTTGCTATGATTGGTGTGGATTCTGAAGATAGTCACCCAAGACCAGTGTAAATAATGGCCTTGAGGAATCTTTTGATGTACGGATTGAAAAGAAACAGTTCCCCAACAGCAAATATAAATACCTTCACTTCTTCCTCGAGTTCTCCAAGCGAAGCTCTGAATCACTAGGAATACCATCAACCGAACATGGACAACAGGTATGAATCTGAGGTACACTTTTCATTCCACACATATAGTTGTTACATAGGATGCAAATGTACATACTGGTGGATGTTACAATACATTTTGTGAGCAGGAACAAGTGTGCTGCATGCTACAGACAATTCAACAAAATGGAGCATTTAGTCGAACACATGAGGACGTCGTACCATTCAGCTCATGAGCCCATGTGTGGAATTTGTAGAAAGCATTGCCGATCGTTTGAGTCTCTACGGGAGCATCTTATAGGTATTCTTCAATCTCCTAGAAGCTATAACATGTTATGTGTCATTTAAGATTTGGCTTCTAACGCGTGTTGATTTCCTATACAGGACCTTTACCAAAGGTTGAATGTGAAAGGATATTTAAGGAACAAGGATGTGATCTTTGTTTAACCATCTTTAGTAGCCGTAACGCTCTCCATGTCCACCGAGAGGCATGCCAATTCTCACGTGGCAACAATATGGTAAAGATGCTCATTCTAACTATATTTTTTAAACTTTTCAGCATAAAATCTATACAAAATCAATCTTGTTGGATTTTCTTTTACAGGGTCTGACAAATCGAATGGCAAACTTGGGCATCCAGGATGATTTGAAGATGGATAGTAGTAGAGCAAGAGTGGTTGCACTTGCTTGCAAAATGGTAGGAGGTGGTAGTGATGGTTCCTTAGATCTTTGTGCAAGGGTTTGCCTCATCGATGAATCCGAAAAGATAATCTTTCATACATATGTGAAGCCACGTCTTCCGGTCACGAAATATAGGTAATTAAATCTTTACAAAAGAACGGTAAATTATGTCACAACTATATTTCGACTAAACTTGAAATCTTGAAAACTTTTAGGTATGAAACAACAGGCATGAGACCAGAATTTTTACGGGATGCTATGCCACTTAGGCAAGTGCAAAGAAAGATTCAAGATTACTTATGTAATGGGGAGCCCATATGGCAGATCCGCTCCAGAGCTGGAAAAGCTAGGATCCTTGTAGGCCATGGATTAGATCATGATTTGAAAAGCCTTGAAGTAGAGTATCCGCAGATGATGAGGAGGCAAGTTAACCAGCATATAACTAAAGACTTTTATGTCATCAATCGTTACACTCAATGACTTAAATCTGAACCATCACACGAATAAAGACTTCTATGTCATAAATTGTTGCACACAGTGACTGGTTGCGGTTTTCCACAATTTAAGAATTAAGCTGATCATTTTTGTTTGCTCAAGAACAAAGAAAAGAAAAGTTGAAATGGTTTCACTAATCTGAGATTTTCTCTACAGGGATACCGCAGATTACCCTCCACTGATGAAATCAAGCAAGCTCAGCAACTCACTTAAATATCTAACGAAAACATACCTTGGGTAGTAGCTTAGCCGAAATTTTTGTCACTTTTCAGTTTACTCATCACTCCTGGGAGCATGACAAATTTTCCTTTTACAGATATGACATTCAAACTGGTATTCAAGATCCCTATGAAGACTGTGTTGCAACAATGAGGCTGTACATGAGAATGAGATCACAGCGTCATAAAGTGGAAGACTATCCGCTTGCTCAAGACCCACAAAATCGAAACAATTTTGCTGCATTTAGGCAAAGCGAGCTTGAGAGGATGGCTCCAGAAAAGATGCTGGAAATCTCAAGGTCTGATTACTATTGCTGGTGCTTAGACTCTAGCAGCTAAGGAAATTGCAATCGAAGTACTTCTCTAACCTGCCAGCACGTATTAGCATGACAGCCAAACATGGAATTTTCTGCCACCAAATAGACCAAGCTTTCTTTTAACTTCTTGCTAAGTTAAATTTAGGCAATAGGACTGCAACTTAGAAATTATAGTCTATTTCATGATATATATTATTGCGTTCTGTCAGATGTTATCTTAGAATTCTCATGGCTGTATCAGTGTGATTTAAGGTTCAATAAAAAGTTTGCGTAACACTGTAGTTGCAACGTAACAACAGCATTATGTCATCATTTCACACTCTCGTGCGATTCATTGACCCAAGAGTGATGGTACTTCAATTGAGTTGTGGTAAAATACTCCAGAAACTGTATGCCGAATTTAAGTTGAGTAGTACTCCACTGTAACATGTAAGACTATGTGGTTTTGAAAGTGAAGATCGCTATTGCATTCATTTCTGTATTTCATAGTTCCTCTAGCTGAGTTGGCAACCTTTAATTAGATCGAATTGCTTGAGTTCGTTTGGCTACACCATGAATCATATACTAAAAACAAGCGGGTTTTGAGTTCTACTTGGGCTTTAGAACGTTTCAAAAAAACTTAAACACAAGGATGTACACATATGTTAACTTCGTTTCTGTTCAACGATCTCAGCAGAAATGTAAGAAAGGTGTGTATTTTTATATTGATTGTTTTTGAGATAAGAGGAGGAGAGAAGGAATAGAAGAGAGTAGATAATGCATTCCAATATTTTGGCGGGAAAGGGGAAGAATTTCCAAGCACAAAACATTTTTTCTTGCTTACGCAATTGCAATTAGATAAACTTCTAATGCTAATACTATAACTAGGCGATGAAAAAATGATAATAATAATAGTGAGTGTGCAGTGGCTAACATCAAACTATAGTATACTTATCCCCGTTTACAATTCTACTCTTCCTTGCATAATATTTTAGATCTCAATTCCAACATCACATAACATTTCTGACCTTTGCTCCCTACATACTTATAGAAAGCTCCTGTACTCAAAGAGGGCGCTAAACTTGGACATTTATCAAGGCGGCCCAGGTGGCAGAAGAAAAACTGGAAGCAGAAGCTATTCTTGACTCAACGACTCCAACTCTTTACTAATACATATATTCACCGTTTATTTATCTTTAAGAGAAATGAAATGCTGCAAACTATAGATTTTCCATAAATAACATATACAACCATATAGCACAAAGAGACTTATGTTGACCTCCGAAAATGGCCAACATGTATCATTTGAAGATGATGTACACGTGGACGTGTCTCGTAGTATATCGACTGTTAAAGTGTATATTTATGGGAGAAGAAGAGGACAACGATGAACAATCTTATATGAAGAAATGTAACATGTTTCCCTCGTTGTTCAAAGATTCCTCTCTTAAAATGATAAAAGAATTGACTATTTATAATGATTAGGCGAAGTGGTTATCATTAGATCCTATCCACGTGGCCTAATCTGTTAGATCTTGGCGTCACATTAATCCTACCTCACATCAATTACATTGATAGACATTTGATAAGGGCTCAGCCACTCTATATCCCTAGGATGACATTCCTGACACTTATTTAATGAGAACGTCACATCAATCAATTTAAAAAATACGTTTATCAGACCCTCTTCTAGTCGTCAATGATTTCAGAAGCTGTGAAAATCTGCAGAAAGAAGGAAACCCACCTCGGATGCGCAAGGGCCAGGACCACATCATATCACTCTAGTGAAACGACCTCATCGTTCAATGCAACAACCTCGTCCATTGACCTTTTTATAACTCTTTTGACCCCAATGCCACGTTTATGAATATTGGGCTTCTATGTGGACCGTTATGTATGATCAGCAACAACTTACATTTGTAAATTTATGTATACACACACAGAAATGTAACGCATACACAACACTCATCGACAGAAGTTATAGTTCTCCGAACGAAAGAGAATCATATACTTCATGGCATAAACCTATTGCGTTGTATGCAATTCTAATCTAATGGCCATGATTCGTGATCTCTGCTTTTTGCTGATTCCATAGAGGTCAATTTTTCAGTGGATAATTTAAATACCGAAAATATAACAAATCACGCCCCCATTGATTTTGCTTGGTTCCCCATTATGCGTGCGCAAAGAGTGTGATGAAAATACTGTAAACAGTAAACTTGAGGTTTACTCCTTTCTCCTTCCACTGGTTTGATCTCGGTTAAATATGGATACAAATTCAAATCTGGCGGATGTTATCTTAGAATTCTCATGGCTGTATCAGTATGATTTAATGTTCAATAAAAAGTTTGCGTAACACTGTAGTTGCAACGTAACAACAGCATTATGTCATCATTTCACACTCTCGTGCGATTCATTAATATCTTACTGGGAACAATACACAACTACTACACTATAAGAATCATATTTCATAACTAACAATATTACAAAATACTTTCATAAATGAGGTGGTAATTCAAATTAGTAAATCTACAATAATGTATAATACTAGTCTGTGTCTCGTACGTTGCACGAATTTTGTATTTATTTTGGTTTTATTAGCGTAAATTGACCCAAGAGTGATGGTACTTCAATTGAGTTGTGGTAAAATACTCCAGAAACTGTATGCCGAATTTAAGTTGAGTAGTACTCCACTGTAACATGTAAGACTGTGGTTTTGAAAGTGAAGATCGCTATTGCATTCATTTCTGTATTTCATAGTTCCTTTAGCTGAGTTGGCAACCTTTAATTAGATCGAATTGCTTGAGTTCGTTTGGCTACACCATGAATCATATACTAAAAACAAGCGGGTTTTGAGTTCTACTTGGGCTTTAGAACGTTTCAAAAAAACTTAAACACAAGGATGTACACATATGTTAACTTCGTTTCTGATCAACGATCTCAGCAGAAATGTAAGAAAGGTGTGTATTTTTATATTGATTGTTTTTGAGATAAGAGGAGGAGAGAAGGAATAGAAGAGAGTAGATAATGCATTCCAATATTTTGGCGGGAAAGGGGAAGAATTTCCAAGCACAAAACATTTTTTCTTGCTTACGCAATTGCAATTAGATAAACTTCTAATGCTAATACTATAACTAGGAGATGAAAAAATGATAATAATAATAGTGAGTGTGCAGTGGCTAACATCAAACTATAGTATACTTATCCCCGTTTACAATTCTACTCTTCCTTGCATAATATTTTAGATCTCAATTCCAACATCACATAACATTTCTGACCTTTGCTCCCTACATACTTATAGAAAGCTCCTGTACTCAAAGAGGGCGCTAAACTTGGACATTTATCAAGGCGGCCCAGGTGGCAGAAGAAAAACTAGAAGCAGAAGCTATTCTTGACTCAACGACTCCAACTCTTTACTAATACATATATTCACCGTTTATTTATCTTTAAGAGAAATGAAATGCTGCAAACTATAGATTTTCCATAAATAACATATACAACCATATAGCACAAAGAGACTTATGTTGACCTCCGAAAATGGCCAACATGTATCATTTGAAGATGATGTACACGTGGACGTGTCTCGTAGTATATCGACTGTTAAAGTGTATATTTATGGGAGAAGAAGAGGACAACGATGAACAATCTTATATGAAGAAATGTAACATGTTTCCCTCGTTGTTCAAAGATTCCTCTCTTAAAATGATAAAAGAATTGACTATTTATAATGATTAGGCGAAGTGGTTATCATTAGATCCTATCCACGTGGCCTAATCTGTTAGATCTTGGCGTCACATTAATCCTACCTCACATCAATTACATTGATAGACATTTGATAAGGGCTCAGCCACTCTATATCCCTAGGATGACATTCCTGACACTTATTTAATGAGAACGTCACATCAATCAATTCCAAAAATACGTTTATCAGACCCTCTTCTAGTCGTCAATGATTTCAGAAGCTGTGAAAATCTGCAGAAAGAAGGAAACCCACCTCGGATGCGCAAGGGCCAGGACCACGTCGGATAACTCTAGTGAAACGACCTCATCGTTCAATGCAACAACCTCGTCCATTGACCTTTTTATAACTCTTTTGACCCCAATGCCACGTTTATGAATATTGGGCTTCTATGTGGACCGTTATGTATGATCAGCAACAACTTACATTTGTAAATTTATGTATACACACACAGAAATGTAACGCATACACAACACTCATCGACAGAAGTTATAGTTCTCCGAACGAAAGAGAATCATATACTTCATGGCATAAACCTATTGCGTTGTATGCAATTCTAATCTAATGGCCATGATTCGTGATCTCTGCTTTTTGCTGATTCCATAGAGGTCAATTTTTCAGTGGATAATTTAAATACCGAAAATATAACAAATCACGCCCCCATTGATTTTGCTTGGTTCCCCATTATGCGTGCGCAAAGAGTGTGATGAAAATACTGTAAACAGTAAACTTGAGGTTTACTCCTTTCTCCTTCCACTGGTTTGATCTCGGTTAAATATGGATACAAATTCAAATCTGGCTGGGATATCTTACTGGGAACAATACACAACTACTACACTATAAATCATATTTCATAACTAACAATATTACAAAATACTTTCATAAATGAGGTGGTAATTCAAATTAATAAATCTACAATAATGTATAATACTAGTCTGTGTCTCGTACGTTGCACGAATTTTGTATTTATTTTGGTTTTATTAGCGTAAATTTTATAGATTGTACAAAAAGTATTTGAAAATAAGAAATGTTTGTTTGATTCTCATCTTTTGATCGACTGTATATTTTATGTCACGATAATTTATTTTTATTATTATAAATAAGTATAACGAATGTTGTGATTGTATATATGTCAACAATAATTTATTTTTAATTATTTATTGTATCTTTTTGTTTAATGTAGATGAAGATATTTTTTTTTATCTGATATTGCAAATAAGTTGTAAATTGAATTTTGCAAAATGTTTTTCTTTAGCAACTTCAATTTGAGAGGCTATACTTGTAGTTCAAAAATAACTCGTGTAGTTGTAAATTGAAAGAGAATATCCACATACACAAACATTTAAGTAACAAACTCAGGTTCGCACGTAAAATAACTTGAAGTAGCACTTACTGGATGACCAACTCCCTTGTTTGTGTAAGATGAAAAAATGATAATAATAATAGTGAGTGTGCAGTGGCTAACATCAAACTATAGTATACTTATCCCCGTTTACAATTCTACTCTTCCTTGCACGATATTTTAGATCTCAATTCCAACATCACATAACATTTCTGACCTTTGCTCCCTACATACTTATAGAAAGCTCCTG